CCCCCCCCCCCCCCACAAGAAAAGGTTTCCCTAAAGATACTTCAATATTAAAAGGGAACTATGGTGTAAGTGTTTTTCCCCATATTTCTCTTAAGGGTCACGGGAGGACATATACTAGTGACCCCTTGTGACCCAAAGCTCCGCACTATAAGAGGTGCCTTGGCGCGGCTGTGCGGCTTTCACATTTTCTGCAGAAGACGTGTATCTAAACCTCCTGTTTTTAACCTTAATGTGAGAAGTTTTTTTACATGCTAGCTTGTGAGTGTGCCAGGAAAACTTTTTGCTGTTCCAGAGCTCAGTATATTGCGAGCGACAGCTCGCGGTATACTGAGACTGCCCCAGCTGGGGCGGATCCCAACAATGCTGTCAAGATCCACCCAGCTGCGTGAATGACAGCTGGCTCTGCCTATCTAAAGGTAGCCAGCTGTCCATTCCTCCAGTCAGCGCTGGAGGATCGGAGGGGGGGAATCCCTGCGGGAAGCGGTGACTGACGGTCACCCCTCTCTGCAGGGAGATGATCGAGAAGTGAGCGAGCGGCCGTATGCTTTCGCTCACTTCCCGATCTATTGAGCTGACCTGTGACAGTTTCATTGTCACACGTCGGCTCGAACTATGAGGATGAGTGGTTTTCACTCACCTCATAGTTCTCCTTTTAACTACTAGAGATTAACCCTCTTCTTTTTAAAAAAAAAAATGTTTTCCATAGAAGCTGCAATCGGAGGAAAGACTGCATTTTAAACACACGATCAATCCCCTGGGGACCAAATGCTTCTATTTAATACATCCACATCAGTTCTTTTGAAATGGTTTAACATGATTACCTTGTCTTAAGGATAAGGTTAAATGATGGATACCTTTAACTGATGCTGGATGGCATTGATGAAACTGTTCGGCTGTTGTACTTACTCCTTGTGCTTTTTACTTGAAACTGTTCCCCTGATCTAACATTAAAGCGTTTTTTTGTTTTTTTTAATCCTCATAATTGAGTCTATAAATGATTACCCCTGCAATGGAATAATAAAGTTCTGGATCTTGTATTTTTAAATGTAGTCTTTTTCCTGTGTAACAGAAGATAATATGAGAGACACATTTAAATATGCCTTTTGGGGAGACTAATTATTAAGTTGGGTAGTACATGGG